TCCACATTACACAGAATCCTTTGGGCCATTTTTAATAGTGATTAGTGTGGCTTTAAGTTGATTTGTATTTCAATGAGTTGGATATCAGGGAGGTTGTGAATAAATCTTTAAAGCTGGTGTGCTTTGAAAAACGTCTGCTGTATGTATGTCTGCAAGATTTGTAACTGAGGGGATAAAACATTGAGAAGCATCAGTGTGGTCCTTTAATCAGCCACTCATCATCACTCCTCTCCTGCCAAGTTTCCCTGCACAGATACGTTAGTTATTGTCATTGTGCTTATTGCCATTTATGGCTCTCCAGGCACTTGCCAAGTTATGGATAATAGCTGCGAGCCCTGACAACGCTACTACAGTCAACACATCACACCCTAATACTGTTTGTCCCTCCTTGACCTCCACAGTCTGGGCGAGGGTCTAACAAGCCCTTATACGCTGACATGCTCTCTAATCGGCTAAGGACCTGCCTTTAACTGGGGCTTAGTAATTAGATGGCTTTATGGAGAGCCTCTGGGGGGGGGCACATACACACACACACACACTCACACACACACACACACACACACAAACATAAATCTGTGGCTCATGTCCTGTCCTCTTTGCATGCACGCACACACACACACCAACAGTTTTACTATGTAATATAAACCTTTTGATTAGTAATGCAGTTTCATGGTCAAATTAATGCAGTGCTTAATGACCTCATGGACAGCTTTTCAAAACAAAAGCGCTATGAAACTCCATTAGAGTTCTTTTCATCAACAACAAACATGATACAGCTGGGTGGACCCACATGTATACTCTCATAATGAGTGGACTGTGTTGGGGAAACAATGCTGCTTTATATCATTATTATTCACTTGATAATGAATTTAGCAAAGAAACACTGTTTGAATTTCATAATGAAATGTAACCACTACTGAATACTATAAAACTGATTCGATGTTGCTATAACCACCGCACTTTTATTCACAATGCCTCACATGACTTTTTTAGTATGTGTATCTGTCTCACATCTCATCCATATAGTTTCTGAAGTTAGCAAGCAACTGGTGAACACAGCGGAGCATAAAGAGCTAGGTATTCTTTTCAGGAGTTGGTGGAGACCAAAATAAGAGATAAAACATAATAAGTGGGTTTAAAAACAGTAAACACATGAAAAAAAAAAAAAACAGAATAATCACGTTTCCACCGTTTGAGATTGACTGGAGCTTTTTTAATTATATCATCTTCCTCCGGAGTCACCTGACTGGAGAATAAGCTCCATCAACTGTTTATCCCCATGAGCCAACTCCTAACATACACATAACAGTAGAAAATAGAAATGTGCATTAATTAGCATTCTTCTGGAAATTTGTTTGAAATTTGCACTAAATCTTTATGGAAATTTGGTTGTGTTTGCTGTGTAAAGAAACAATGTTTGTTAACATGTGTCCCATGAAAAGCATTTGATCCTGCATAAAGTCATCAAACTACAGTCTGTGTGTAGAGATGACGTCCTGCTCTGTTGGTTCCTCTCTTACCTGACCGAGAGAACTCAGTCTCAGTCTTAGCCCTATCAGTAATGAGTTGCCACAAGACTCCATTCATGGTCCATTACTATTAACTACGCTATACAAATATTATACATTATGCATAAATAACATTCTTCCTCCTCTGTACTTTTTTTTGCAGATGACACAGTTTTGTCTGCCCCAGGCTTCACCCCAGCCCAGGCTCTGACTCGTCTTCAGTCTGCCTTTGATGCTTCCATATTATCGTTTTTTAATCTCAGACTTTTTTAAAGACCAAGTACATAGTATTCTGCACCTCCACCAGTGACTCCACCATACTGCCAATAAAAACTTAGATGGTATGCACGCACCTGCACTCTACTGGGTTCCCTTTCACCCTGGAGAAAGACTCGACCCTCCTGATTGTCATTGTATAATTCGCACTCTGATCAACGTCTGTGTAAAAGGGAGAGACAGGGACAGGCGCACACTCTGTTGTGTTACACGTCACGCCTCTGAGTCCTGAATGCCGTCATATTCTCTAACATCACACACTGGGACGGCATCATGCTGGCTTTGTTTGGTTCAGTGTAAACAAAAGGCAGCATAATGAGGGGTCGTCTTAACGGTGAAATACAGTAGTGGGATCTCTGTTTAAAAGAGACTTATGACTTTTGAACCGTTTTACAAATTCTTTGCTGATTGTGTTTACCTGCCGTTAATTGTGTTGTCTCTGTATGCTGATTGTGTGCTTGTCAGATTATTCAGCTCTGTCTCCTAGAAATCACATTCCTATACAATTAAACTGCAACAGCATACTTGCAACATAATTGCGAGTGGATGACATTTTCTATTCATGTAATGAGGAAATGTTGTTAATTAACGTAGTTGGCAAGTCACACATAAGCTGAAACTGAACGTATCAGTAAAATGTTCACAGATGTCTGTCACCGATATCCACCATAGTGTCTCATTTTGCAGAACAACATCCACCTGTAGTGACTCCAGCATTATTAAACAGTTTTACGGTTCTGTTTAGACTCTCACAGCATTTAAACAGCGTCTTTCCCTCACCTTAACCTGTTGTCTAAGCCACACATGAGGACTCTGGATGTGATCGTAGTCTCTTGTATCACAGTCAGTTGCTTTGTTCGCCTGCCATTCACCCCAATCACACCCCCTGCTGAATAAGATGCAATTTAATGTTGTGCTGCATTAAAAAAAAAAGGGGGAAAAAAAGATAGAACGTGATCCAGACAGTGCTTATGTTTCCTACAAAACATATCTGCTGCTGCTGTTTTATTGGATATAAAGTAAAAGTAACTTCTAGCAGGCAGGGTTATCTATTGTCTATTTGTCCACTGCTTAAATTCCAAAGAGGTCAAGTGTCATTTTAAGTGTCTGAATTTTGTCCAATTTGAGCAACTAGATTTTTGATAAATGTAAATGACTTACATAAATCTCAAACAGGGTTTCTTTTTAACAACATGAATTAAGATCAAAGGTTTTCAAAGTAAAATATTACAATCCCATGAATTCAAACTTCAACAGTCAGTACTCAGCAGAGATTATATTTGACAGTTAGCTGCTCAGTCGCTAATGAAACTCTTTCTGGCCTCTCTTTGCGTCTGTAGAGAGAAGCTGAGGAGTGTGAGCAGGGTGGTGGGACCAGAGTGGTGGAGGTGAAGGGTTGTGCAACATGTAGTATTTGGCTAGGGCTGAACAATGGGAGGAATCCTCCTCCTCCTCCTCCTCCTCCTGGAGGACCATTTGACCTCTGGGTGTGTTTGTCTGTGTTTGGGGGGGGGGGTTTAATGGGGTGTGCCTGTGTGTGTGTGTGTGTGTTTTCAGTATGTGAGCTATTCCTGACCTCAGGGATAGACTTAACAACGTGTGTGTGCTTTGTCTAGCCTCATTAGGAAGCATGTGTGTGTTGTTGGAGTGGGGTGGCTGTGGATAGGGGTGTGGGGAGCTGATAGGTGGTTTGTTTGGGTGGCGCAGGAGATTGAGTCACGAAGCCGGGCAGACGCTGACACTGCTGTGATACAAGTCACGCCTCTGACTCCTGAACGCCAGCGTGTTATCAACCATCACAGACTGCGACGTCTCCTTAACGACAATATAGTTTGTAAAGTAGCAGTGGAAAAAGGGAGCTACTGTTTCATCAGCTGATCGATATCTGAGCAAACACTCAGCTCCAAAATAAGCCCCCTGTCATCTGAGACCTCCTGAAGAAGCCCCCCACCCCCTCACTCCTCATCACTGAACATTAGCGCTGTCATTAGCTCTCAGAGAGCTTTGCCTCTGAAAAGCGGGAATTCGGGGTTAAACCCTCAGTGGTTTTTAAAGGATGTCGCTGATTGACGGCTGAAAATGTGGGTTTCCAGTTGGACAGCTAAAAGTGCTACATGCTAAAGCAGAAGCTGTATGTTTGGATGTGATATATGGTAATTTGATGCTCCACAACAAGAACATGTGAAGAGCAACATGATAATAATATGTAGAAAAGTAGAATTAACCAATAGAAAACAGTTAGAGAGAAGAAAAAGAAGAAAAAAACATGACACAAGAAAACTGAGGGTGGAGTGGGAGATCCAAGTATGAGTTAGTGAATTAGTTGAATTTTGATATATGGCAAATACAATGTGTTTCGTTTGCCAAGGAAGTCTGTTCTCTTTCAAAACAATCTGTTGTCCATTTGTTAGTCTGGAGGAATTTATCAAGCATCTGTAAGTTTGGGGAAACATTTTTTTTGGAATGGAGAAGTTTTAATTTAAAGTTCCACACAAGGAGCCCTGACACTGTTCTGGGGCTCACAATGGAACAACACCTGTGTTGGTGTTTATATGTAGAACACAAGGTCTGACCCAGTGGAAGCAGAGGATCTATGGGCAGATGGAAATTTTTCTGTATAAATAATGTTTTATCTTATTTTTTTTTTCTGTATGTCTGAGGCAGTCAGTCAGTTATATTTTATACTGAAAGGAAAGGGACACAAAGGGGAAAACAAAATAATGTAGGAGTTAAATTATAGGTGCATACATCATGTCAGAAAAATGCACTGATGCCTGTATGCTGCGTATAGAAGGAAAAAAAGCATGTAGCCTACTGTACACACCCACACATGTACATCTGCGCATATGGCTGTATTTAGCATTTTGTTTATCAGCCACATGGATGTATTTGGTGGAGTCTGAGTATTGATTGGTTGGTGGATTATAAACTCTTATAGCGCGTGCAGGAATCATACTAATGGTGAACTTTCATTGGGGCCAGTTTAGTCACACACTCATAAGGAAGTCTGACAAAAAAAATAAATAAATAAAAAAAAACTACCCCACCACCTCCCTCCTTTGGCAGAAAATCATTGCTTGTGTCTTTATCCTCCGTTCGCGCTCCCGCCTGCTGTAAGCGCGCACGCGAGGGTTTCCTGGTCCCGCGCGCTTGGCACGGCGCCGCGCACTCCAGCCCCTGTGTAGTAACCCAGAGCAGCAGAGCTCTCAGCTAGACATGGCGGCGGATCCTAAGCCGGACTGGCTCTCCTGCCTTCCCTCTTCTTGGAGTTATGGGGTGACTCGGGATGGACGCATATTCTTCATCAAGTAAATATCACGCGGACACACGGATTTATGGATACGCACTGCTTATTTCTCCGACGCATTCTTCCTTGTTTGTCTTTTTTCGGCTTCTCTGTTCACCTTTTCCCCCCGTTTTCTTCCACTAACAGCGAAGAAGCAAAGAGTACAACCTGGTTGCATCCTGTTACTGGAGAAGCAGTTATCACGGGGCACAGAAAAACTCCAGGTAAAATGATTTGAGGGTGTTTTTTTCTTTCTTGCTTTCTTTCTTTCTCTCCATTCCCTGTGAAAACACGCACACACATGCACGCATGCAGCGATCTGGGAAAGGTTATCCGAGCGTCACGGCCGGGGAAAAACAAGGGGGGCGACAAGTTGCGGAGAGAGCCGTGGAGGAGACGGTGAGGGGAGATTTCTTCTCTCTGCAGCAAAGCAACAGCCTCCTCTGCTCCGCTCTCCTCCGGCGGACCATTACGCACGGCGTCCAAATCACCCCCTCCCGCCCCCCTCCCTAATCCCCCCCCCCCTCCTCGCTCCACCTGGACACTTTGCGACACACTTTTTAAAAGTTCCGTCACGTAGGCGTGAACCGATTTCTGAGCCGATTACCTGCAGTGACATTTGACATATTTCCCTCTAAAAAAAAAACCCCAGCTGTGCTATTGACACGCGCTATTTCCAAGCACCTATACTGTATATCCACCGTGGCTGCTTATATAGAACAATACAACACGTTAGTGCGAAGCATATATTCCAAAAAAAAAAAAAAATGAAACGCACATCTGCCGCGACAAGAAAAGGGGGTGACGGCTGAGGAAGCATCTCTGCATGCAGATCAGCAGCTGGAGGCTGAGCAGTGCAAAGACAGACAGTATGATCGAGTAATCCTGCGATATCTGCTCTGGGGGGGGGGGGCACAAGCCAAATGAGCTATTTGTGGTCCAGACACTGCATTGCTATGCAGGTGTGTGTGTGTGTATAATCTTCATATCTCTGTGCACAGCTGCTCATGTTCCTGTACGTTGTGTTTTTCTTCCCCTCCCTGTCCTCACAGATTTACCAACAGGATGGGAGGAAGGATACACATTCGAGGGGGCTCGCTGCTTCATCAAGTGAGTTGGAATGTGTGGTGAAAAAAAAAAGAGACAAAAAGAAGAGAAGGTAGAGAGATAGATGCAGAGGGGGAGTGAGAGTGAGAGAGAGAGACAGTTAGAGTGGCTAGCTGAGACGCTGAGGGGCTGCATTGTTTGGGCAGCGTAGAGATTTCCCTCCGCTCTCATCAACGCCCACCTCTCTGCCTTTCTAGCCCTGCTGGAGGAGCAGGGGGCAATTCACAAATATATCTGTTTGCCTCCCTCGTAACACACACACACACACACACACACACACACACACACAGACACCGTTTCTGGTCTTGTCTTTCTTTCGCTGCTGTTGAGGCTTTCTTCCTCTATCATTCATGCTCTTGCCCTTCACTGCTGTCTCTCTCTCTCACTCTCTCTCTCACACACACACACACACACCAGTGGAGGGATTCGCTGAGGAACAAGTCTCTGCTGTCAGTGGGACGCAACTTTGACAAGCACGTGTGACTCAGAGGCTGCCCTGCTGCGCCGAACAGGCTCTACTTGTTGTCGTGCTGCGTGTGTGCACATGCGAGTGTCTTTGTATTTGCGTGTCTGTAACCTCTCCAGGGTTATTAGCTCCCTCCTTGTGCACATTTGCGTACATGTATATTTTATGGACCTGTTTGACGGCAAAAAAAAAAAAAAATGCCCCACAGCCTCCCGGCTTCTCACACACCCACAGCTGACACACACACACACACACACACACACACATACACACACACACACACACACACACACACACACACACACACTCTTTGAGGATGTGAGCAGCCACTTTTTGTTTGTTCCACTTACTTTCCCACCTAGTTTTCCCGCTGTTGCTCCTGCTGTCTGTGGCCATTTCGAGAGCAGCAGCTGACACATATGGTGAGCTAATACAGCCCCTCTATAAATAGCCCACAACCGCTGCCAGTTGGTATGTATGAATGCACGCAGAAATGCGCACATGGACACCCGGCGTGCATTTGTGTGTGTGTGTGTGTGTGTGTGTGTGTTTATGTATGCACGCACACGGAATATAGAAGCACAGTTACGCTGTTAAGTGCTCGCATGTAAACACAGAGGACAGTCTGGTCAGGTGGACAGCTGTGGGTGCAGGTGTGAATGAAGCACGAGCCGAGATCAGAACAGGAGAGATTCAGAGATGGCGCAGGGAGGCGAGAGGTCGTGAGGAGCAGTGCCGATCGGCTTTGCCACGTTTGCAAAATCAGAGGGCCATGGCAAAAAAAAAAAATTGGGAATCATGTTAGTTGATTTTGGCCAGTGGGGCCAGCTGGTAATCTGTCCTCATGGATTGGACCCTCCTCAAGGAAGTCACAAGATATACCTGAGCGGTCATGAGATGATTAATGAAACAGGGTAGGATAAAACGGATGTTTAATTTTTCAAGCTTTCCTCTAATCTTTGCTGTGGCGTGGTACTGAACTTCACTTCCTTTTGAGTAGCAGCCAAACTGTACCTGTAGCGTTGTGTGTTTAAAACTGTCCAGTATTGAAATGTAGCATTAAACGCTTGGTCGCAGTCTTTGATATTGTAACAGTCTAAAAAGGGATATTCACTGCCAGCAGCTCATATAGTCATGTGCTCCCTGTGATGAGCTGAAGGGGTTCTGAACAACTACAACTGAGATATGTGCGAGTCTCTTGAAGACCCAACCCGACTTGTTTCACTCGCTCGTCCCATTGATCCAAGCTCAAAGCTTTATGCAGCAAAAACAACCCAACCCCTGCCTGAAACTGGATACTGTGTCTGGACCAATCAGGCTGTGAAGCAGAACTCCAGATAGTCCATGAGTAAACATTGCTCAATTTATGGGGCAGCGTTCCAAAAAAGGGTTTGGAAGCGCTGATGTAGAGTGAATGGAAATGCACTGAGCCCGTCCAAACCGGAGGTAATAAGTCTCCAGAAATTTACCACGAGCCTCCCGTCGAGTTGTTTTGGTCATTGGCGGACAATATGAGCCGTGATTGGGGGAGTGAAGCAGGTCATTTGTTGTCAGTTTTGTACCTGGTGTTGAATTCACAGTGAGTCACAGTGAGACGAGGCATTGATAGAGGACGTTCGGTCTTAACAGACGGCCACTGCTGTGCTCCTGGTATTGGCTGACTCAGGCTAAACTCCAGCACACACAGTCTTGATTACAATGAGCAGTATTCGACTCTGAACAATTCGGCCTAGTGTCATATTCACTGAACAACACTGCATCGTCACCACTTCTTCAAATCCTTCAAATTCCTCCCAAATTCCTGCCGGGTCACTTTTCTATCAGCCTATTATTGGATTCCTGACTCTGCTGCTCCCTTTACATCCATGGCGCTGAAGGGCACTGCTGCCCTTGAATGCCTGTTGACGGACGGTCACTCCCCAGGCTCGGCCTTTTCAGGCTGGAGGTCAAACTCCTCTCGCCTTTGTTTGATCTTCAGGTTTTGAATCTGATCTGTTCATATCCTTTAGAAGCGTTGTACAGCCTCCAAACATGAGTTGCCAACATGTTGCTTTCCTTTAATAAAGCCAACGCGGGGGTAAAGTGACTCCTCAGCTCAAATACCATCACTTGGCAACACTTTAGACTTAGCACTTAGTTTGAAATCACAGTAATTCAACAACAAACACTGACACAATCCTGGTTTCAGAGCACGCAAACCTCCAGTGGAATAAGAGGAGATGATATTTCTTCAGTCCAAACCACTGCTAGTTCATGGATGGAGAAACATGGAGGACTGGCTTTATTTGCAGTTGGGTTGTTGCATGTTTCTAATTTAGATTCAGATCAGAGTTCAGAGCTGCCGCAGTGTCTTCCAAATAATTCTTGAATATTTTCTTTTTTTCTTTGACTGCCAAAGATGTTGAAATCCTGCCAAGGTGTTAAGCTCTGCACAGCTAACTAATTGCTCCCGCACTCACCCGTGGCACGTCAGTGGAGCGTTGACTTGGAATGAAACATGGCAGCGTCTCATGTGTTGTGATGTTGGTTTCACCTTCGCTCAGGTAAACAAGACGAGGCGTGACAACTCGTTGAAATGAAACCCTGTGTGTGCCGCATGTTACCTGCTGCTGTCCCATTGCCTGCAGGAAAACAGGAAGTAACCGACTGTCGTGTCACCTGTTGGGGTTTGGGAGATCATTTGGGATTTACTGCTCTCTGCTGGGTTAGTCAAAAAAAAAAAGTGGCAGCCGTGACTTAGTGTGATAGGCTGAGACACCTGTCAATCAAAAATCAACCCTTTTTTTTTTAAACCATAATATCTTCTGATATATCTTTTCTAGCTTGGTTTTTTCCTCTATTTATAGACGCATGTCAGTGTCACACACGTCTTAGCAGAGCATGACACGTATGATCTTTTTTCAGAAATGCTGATATATTGGTACAATACATGAAAAAGTTTTACACAATTGGAAGTTGTGTGAGCTTTAGGTCTACGCATCCAAAGGTTTTCAGCACACAGTACAGATCTACATATAAATGAACAGAGGAGAGTGTCAGTGTTCCAGGTACAGTATATTAGAAACATGTTGATAGATGTTGTTGACATTCTGGGCCGTAGTTCTTTAAAAAAAGAAAAAAAAAAGAAAAAGAAAAATGTGTTGATAGAGTGAAACAAAAGAGACAGAAATTCATGGATTTTGTCACTCCGACTGTTTTTCTTATTTCTGGTTGGCATAAACAAGTTCCTTGCTTTGGAGCTACTGCATCCATCAGGCTGTGGGCCAGTGAGCTAGGTGTGGGCTCTACTTGGTGGCATTGCAGTAACATGACTTTCCATATTTGCACATTTGACTGTGATAAGATGGAGTTTGGTGATCTGTTGCAGAGGAAATGTCTGGAGTTTTCATGCTGACGGACACACTTGGGGGGTTTTCCCTTTGATTTTCCATTTAGTCAGACTATTGTGGAGAAATTGGAGGAACTGAACCAGGAACTGGCTTCACCACTTAGCTGCTGTGTTTGCTGCTTGTCCTGTCCATAAAGATCGGAACACAGAACTGGCTTCTCACGTGACTCTCACTTCTGCCCAGCTGAATCTAAAACCCTTGATGCAGTGTTTTTTCGATTCAGCTTGTCTTTGTGCTGTTTAGTGGTGTGACCTACGATACTGGAGTGTTGTAGCTACTGCTGGATGCAAACAGAAGTGGTTCAAATTCAGTTGGTTTGATGTTTCACGATCAGAGGGAACTAGCAAAGGTTTGAAAGAGTAGACTTCTGTATCGCAGGACACCTACTCAGTTCCTCTGACATGTCAACAAGACCTCCAACCTGAACCACCACGTAGGTCAGTTGTCCCTACCCTTAGGTACGATCTATAGGAGCGTACAAGCACCAGGCATACCAGGACCTTCGTCGTCGTGGTAACAATAATAAAGCCGCTGGCAAGGTTGTGGAACGGTCACGGTTTGGTTAGGTTTAGGAGTAGATAAAAAGAAGTGCGTCAGTAATGTTAGAGGACCTCTGTTGTCACGGTTACAATAATGAATGTGGTTGAGGTTGTGGACGATGGAGTCGTCTTTTAGTCGTACTCATTAAACTTCAGTGAGCTCTAGTGCTGTGTATGGAAGCTTCTGCGCATGTTAATGCTTCTCCACTCATGTTTGGGTTTGTCCTTTACTTTCTCACCAGTCTGTTCAGTATGCAGTCTGTTCAGTAAGCAGTCTGTTCAGTATGTAGTCTACCAGTGCTGAAGAATTCCCTGTTGACTTTTGTTTGTAGATCTCTTTCTCCTTCCAGTCTTTCATCATTTCGCTCTCTCTGCAATTAAGTCCAAGTGGTTGCTACAAGTATTATGTGACTGTAATCGTCAATGTGATTGTGTTCCAAATGATTAAACAAATTGGTGGTGTTACCTTTGGTTGTTGAAATCGTTTCTCTGCGGTGTTTGCATTGGACTTTTTGTTCAAAAGTCAAAATGTGTCCAAACAGAGGGACAGTCTGTTCGGGTAGAAGGTGCTCGGGTTGAGGCCCAGTGTTTGCGCTCGTGTCGTCCACA